TTCTATTCCCAAGAGAACCATCCCACATTGATCGCTACCACATTTTTAATGGATATTTTTATAATCATCTCAAGTAATTAAAAATTGTATTCCTAGGTGATGTTTATATGTTTTAGTTCTTCCCTAGGCTACGAACTTCTCAAAATCTTTCTCTGGTTGTTATGTTCTTTCATCTTTTTTTGCACAGTGCTTGGAAGATAGTGGGAATTGAATAAGTGTGTGTTGAATAAGAGAATTTAAGAAACTATGTGATCTCTTTCTGGAATAATGGTAGAGCCAATAAGTGGTATATGAGAGAAAAAAAATGATCAACTAAATAAACATTAAAGAAACATTTATTGATGACATATCTTGCACTCAGTCTTGTACAAGTCACTGAGCACATTAAAACACAATATCACAACATCACAGGCCTCCATTAGCTTAACATTTAGTGAAAACTAATGAAGAAATTTAAGAATACTGTGAGGATATTGGGTGAGATGTTAGTTACCATAAATTACTGGGGAAACTTAAGTGAAAAAATTAAATAATAATCAAAGAGTGAAAACATTAAAAGGAATACAGCTGCTCAGCCTGAGAAGGAGATTGTACTCATGGGAATTTATATGGAAATAGTTTTTCAATAGAAGCTTAAACAAGACGAAACTATCTAAAATTTAATAATTTCATATATTTTCAATCAAACTGAAAGAAAAATAAATAATTATCAGGAAATGTGATAGATTATTTTCAAAAATAACTTCTTGGAAGTCCCTGAACTCCAATTTTTCTCCCCACGAGTCTGCAGAAATATGTTCAGCTTTCTTGACCACTCAGCTGTACATTTAGGAATTAAAAAAATGACTGGAGTGAAAAGGCAATGCCAGAAGCTGGCCTCACCTTTCTAGGTTTTACTTTTCTCCAAGTTATTGGATCCCCAAATTGTTGCTTTTTGGATATTCCCTATGTTTTCCTACAGATTTATTCTTAATATTTTTTCAACATTTCTGGTTGTTCTCAATTAGGAATCATAGGAATCATAGTTCAAAACATCTAGTCTGCTACTGCTGGAAGAGATACTCCTCAATGACATTTTTAAGCCCTTGAATTTCATAGAATTCTCGTGCTAATAGTTCCAGGGACCAGACTCAATGCCTCAGGATAAGGGCATCCTACCTTTGGGATAAAAGAATCAGTTAGTGGCTCTAAGAGAAAACTAATTATCTGCAGACAGAATCTTCCCCAAGAGTTTATTCGGAATCATAATTTACTTTCACAGCCGTTGTCAGTGAGTAATAATTCTATTTAGATTTCCATCAGTCTCTATCTTTAATTCTGTTTTTGCCAGAAAAATCTTTTGAAATCCAAACTCCTAAACCCTCTCTAAATTCCAGGAAGCAAAACTGGACTGGAGCAAATGTTTTGTCTTCAACGCCCTGATAGCTCAGGGTTCTAACGCCATGCCTTTGGCTCCATGTTTATATCCTCAGGCACGCTTGTTCCATCTCCTGAGTGTCCAGGACATTTTAGTGCCCATATTTTTCACCCGTAGATTCCATGTTCTTGAATTTCTTGAATTTCTTCCTTTCTTTCTCTAAAAACTGTTCCATCACCTAGTATTTGGGGGTTTGATTTGCTTTTCTTATGAGTGACTATTGTACAAAGCGCAGGATGACTAGCATCCTTGACTTCTGGGGGCTAAACAACAGTAGAAATTTTCAGACATTCTTTATAGTAGATATTTCGAAATTGTCTACCCTTCTAACTTGAAATGCAGGTGTATTTTAAGATGATGTAGTGTTGAAGGTGAGGATTAGATACAGTTAATTAGACTTTCTAAAATGCATGGCTTTTTAACTGGGATTGCATATTTGCTTAAGTTTCTCAAAGTAATAATGTCTCTAAACTCAGTAAAACGAAAGGAGAAAATAAAAATTTCAAAGTTCTTTTTCAGTGTTACAGTTATATTATACACTGTTAATTCCAGCACTTGTACAACAGCTTTTAGACAATCTCAAGTATAAAATGACCTTTCTTAATAGGAAGAAAAGGTGATGCACCATTGCTAAGGCCAACTTCTTGAAGCATGGATGACTAGTGATCTATGCTAGCAAGATATGCTGGGCTTGCAAATATTATTCTAGCCTTTCTTTATTCATTTACATTTTCATTTATAAATGTATACAATTTGCTTGGTAGAGCAGATCAAAGAGTGTTTCTTGGCCAAATTCACATCTGTTTAAAAATAGATCCAGTTTCCCAGGAATTTAGTTGAGGTCAGATAAAGTACTAGATTGGTTTAAAGTAGTGATCAAAAGAAATAAATAAATTTAACAAGTAGGTATATCCATTCAGCTTGATGTCCAATTTGTTATACATTATGGTTATATGAACAGGAAAGTAATAATTTAAAGACTCCAATATGTACTACTGGCCAAAATGGATAAAAGACTCAGCAGAAAAAAAGATTTGCTATATCAGCAATATTTTGTTTCCTTTCTCTGTACTGAAAACAGCTCAGTGCTCGTTGGTATAAAGTGAAAAAAGGCCTTGAAAAATATATTCCAACTTCAAGAATAATTAACGATTTAAAATTTAGCCACACAGTAAGTAGAATGTAAGTCGCTTTATTAAAACCAACAAAGAAACAGGTATTTAAAAGGTTTAGTTATTATTGGCAATGTAAGGAAGTAATTGGGGAAAGGAAAGGATACCCTTTTTCTCAATGGCAATCATCAAAGGAGTTGCTCATATAGGTGGATACAATTGAAATTTGCCAATCTACACTTAGAAATTAATAATGAAATTTATACTAAGTTCATCACGAACCTCACTATGTTTTTAAGGTAGAGCTTGCTAAACAGCATTTGCTATTTTTGTGCAGGGCATGGAAACATTGTTAAAAGTATTCACGATTCCACATTAATGCTTATGTATGGAGGTAGGAGAGACTGTTTATCCTTTCATTGCTATATTATTTTGAATTTTGACTAACTCTTCCTTGACAACATTACTTCAAGCTGCAGTTAGTATGTTTACCTCTAGCAAAGTCACTCTGCTTCTCGTTCCCCTACTGAATTTGTTGCTCTGCTCTTTGGTAGAATAGAGAACTAGATTGCAAATTTGTTATGTATGTGTGTGATATTATAGTAAGTAGTCTGAATCACAACATGGTCTGAGGCTAATCTTCTATGAAAAGAAATGAGTGTGCACACTTTGTGATATTTACTTTAGATGCTTATAGACTTTAGGTTGAGTTTCTGATTTTTAGAGGGTGCAGTTTATAAGAGAAGAGACATTTGGAAAAGTGGAGAAGGGAGATTTTCCTTTCTAGTGATAGTAGACTAGTAATTCATGCCAATATTCCAGCTGACTACAGCTAGTAATACTGGACAAAATTCAAATGTATATGATGTGTGTATGTTGATGGTGTGTCTGTAAATCAAAAAGCACCAGAGAGCTAACAAAATTGTGAGAAATTCTCAAATTAGTACCAGAGAAGAATGGAAGCAGACAAGAAATTTGACTTCAGCATTTGTGTCTGCTTTTCATGTAAAGAAATGTAGCTTCCAGAGATGGAACCTGGGAGGGAGAAGAGCACTTTTGACAGCCCAGAGAAGCTAGGGATATGAATATGCTTAGAGGGAAATTTATAGCCATAAATTTATGGCTATAATCAGTAATCTATAATACTTTTAAAATTCTTGGTTCACATGTAGCTAACAAGAATCAGAACACAACTTTCACAAGTTAAAAATATGACTCCAATACAGATAGACCGTATATATGTCAAAGATTTCTTAAGTCACTAATGAGGAAACCAGCAAGCTGATAAAGCTGATCCTAAGAGCATTTGAGAAACTGGATGTTCTAGGTAATTTTTAAAATAAATATTAGAAATAAAATTGCCAGATTAAATACAAAATTGGTTAATGTTCTACAAGGCAATAATCATTAAAGTTCTCTTTTCTGTTAGACAGAACCTGCAAGTAAATACATAGCATCAAAATGTGTCCGCTTTAATTAAATGGTTAAAAGCAATGTGAAAGGCAGGTACATTTTCCTAGAGAATTAAATAATCCTTATCTGAACATGATAAATTACGCCCCCAGAATGACATCAAAAGTACAAGTTCTTTTCTTTTTTGCCTTATATTCAAGCTTTGTATGACTTTTCTCGACACAAGTATTTACAAAAGTTAAAGTGCTATAGCAGAGGCAACAAAGAGAGCATAATCCTGCCTCCAGGCATTTTTCAATGTAGTTTGTAAGCAAGACAAGAATCAAGCACAGAACAACACAAATTGTTTTAATTAATGCAATGCATATTCAATAGTTAAATAAATTCTTCAGCTGCAGTGAAAAAAAGCAGGGGATTTCTAGCAGACCATCAGTGAGAGAGAATTTTCAATTTGTCACAATTCTATATAGATGAATCAATGAGATCTCAAATCAATATGTTCAAATCTTAAAACCACCTTCCCCTGCAAAGTTCTCTTACATTTCTACCATAGAGTCTGTCCCTTGGGATTGAAACTCTTGAACCTTAATTGATAGGGAAACTATATAATTAATTCTTATATACCTAGGACAGTTCCCAGATTAGAGCAGGTGCTTTGCATATATTAACATAATTATTAATCTTTTACATATGACACTTTTGTATTCTTATCTTTTGACCTCCACACATTGTAAGTTTCCTATATAGCTGGTCTCTCTTACCGTGGGTCAGGCACTATTCTGACTTACATGTGTGGGTTTCCTTAATCTTCCCAACAGCCCTATCAGGTTGGTGGCATTTTTCACTCCATATTACAGATGATGAAGCTTGGGTTCACTGTAGTTAAGAAATTTGATCAAAGTTATCTACATTATAAGGGGCAAAACCAGAACTTACCTCAGGTATTCCTACTCCTATGATTTAATCATTTTTTATATGAACTTGAATTCATCACATGGCAGATGGAATAAAATGGATAGAGATTGGAATTTATTTGATTTTTGTTTGTTTGTTTCCAGTATTCTAGGTAGAAAACATACATACGGCTTAAACAAGGATGGTAGCCGCATGCAAAGGCAAAGAAAATGGAACAGGGAAATCTTAAACATGTCTTCAAGAAGATGAAATTCAGAAAACAGACTCTGGGAATCCTTGACTAGCAGAAGTCTGTCTGTCCCGCTCAGCTGGAGGTTTCAGAAGAGTTTATGTAAGAAAAGATACTCCAGATAAATAAACATTCTAATCTTAGCCTGAATATTTGTTATGGACTGAATGCTTGTGCACCCCTCCCCCCCAGTTCATGTGCTGAAGTCCTAATCCTGAATTTGCTGGTTTTCAGAGGTAGAGCCTTTGGGAAGTAATTAGGTCATGAGGGTGGAACCTCATGAATAGGATTAATGCCCTTATAAGGAAACTCGAGAGAGCTCTCTTGCCCTCTTTCTGCCATGTGAGGGTACAAGGAGAAGATGGCCACCTTCACTCCAGAAGAGAGTTCAGAAGCTAACCATGCTGGCACCCCAATCTCAGACTTCTAGCCTCCAAAACTGTGAGAAATCAATTTTTTTGTTTATAAGCCCCCAGTCTATGGTACTTTGTTATATTAGCCCAAACTAAGACAATCTTGGCTGGTAATTCTGTTTTAAAGTCCAAGCAAGATAACTGTAGTTACCTAACTAACAAAGAGCTAACTTTAAAGATAAACCATCTATGTGGTAAATAGAGAGCAAGAAAAAGAAAAAGAATTCCAAGGGTGCCCAGCCTTTCTCCCTAAAACCAAGTCAACACTTAAGGTGTCAAATCTATGCCTCTTTCTCCTGGACCCCAACATGGGCCTGCTAGGAGTTCTAAAGTGGAACTTGGCTCTGGGTCTATATTAACATAGCAGCTACATAGAAAAGACCCCAAAGAAGAGGAAAATAAAAATATTAAAGGAGAACATAATCCTAGATGAGGAAATTTCCCAGAACTACCTTTCTTACTGAAATCACTATCATCAGCCTTTGGGCCCATAGTGTTTTCCTTAGAAGTCTTATGGTTTTGACCTGTTAGAAAGAGAACAGTGAATTCAGGGATTGCCATTAAAGTTAGGTGTCGTCACTATCACTACATAACAAAGAGGTCCAAAAATAACTAATGTAAAAACACCATTTTACTATACTCAAAAATTCTGTAAAGAATTCAGGCAGGGCTCAGTGCAGCCAGCTTATCTGTGCTCAGTGGTAAGATGATTCAATGGCTGGGGGCTTGAATCGTTTGGCTGTGTCCTTACTCATAAATCTAGTGGTTGATACCGGCCTCCAGCAGGGATCTCGGCTGTGCTGAAAGTTGGAACTCCTGTGTGGGACCTCTCTATATAACTTCTCAATGGGCCTGGTCACAGCAATGGTGGCTGGGTTCCAAGAGTGAGAATCCCAAAAGAGCAAGGGAAAAGCATGTTCCATTTACCCATGTGCTAAGGCCATAATTTGAAGCTAAGAAATATAGGTGTTTGATTGATCAATTGACACAGAGCATCAGTTTCACTTCCTCCCTATTCTATTAGTTAAAGCAGTCACAGAACTCAGCCCAGGATCAAAGAAACGGGTCACAGGTCCCATCACTGAATGGGAGGAACATCAAGGTCACAAGGTCAAGTAAAAAGAGTATTTGAGATATCGGATATTATTGTAGACAATATGCTGCAAGTTTGTAGGTATGGAGAATAAGGAATCAGTCAAGGCACTCTAATGTTGTGAGTCTTGATGTCTATGTATCCCTCTAAGGAGGGAGAGAGCTGCTAATTCTCAGTTATCTCTCTAAAATATTGAGCAAATTCTAAAAGTGATGATTAATTTAACTCAAGCTAGAAAAATTTTTTAGTGTTACATTGGCTTTAGTATTCAGCCACAAGTTAGCATACGGCTTAGAGGCTATTGGTTCTTCTTCTTCATACTCGAAGTGTTCTGAATTTGAAGGATGCTCAAGAGCAAAGCAGGCAGAGATGGAACAAATCCAGGGAGAAGGAGCAGCCAGTGTAGAATCTTGGGGTAAGAAACAAAGAGGAGAGCAGGAAAGAGTCAAGGAAAGAAGGCCAGTGTGAGTGAGCACAAAGAATGAGAGGTTATGCATAGGGCAGCTGAACTCAGAAAGTTACCCAGGAGCCAGGGTTGCAGCCTTGATTAATGATAAAAGGCTTTATCCTAAAGTCACTGGAAAGCCACTGGACTATGTGTACAGGGTGGGTGACATAGTACGTAATGATTAATTCTGGAAAAGAATAGATAATAGATGAGAGGTAGAAAAGACAGTGTGGAAACAGCCCAGTTAAGGTGTGTTTGTAATGGTCTAAGTGAGAAATTATGGCAACCTGGACCTAGGCAGTTACTGGGAAGGTCAAGGGAGATGGAGATATTTAAAGCTACTTTAGATAAATTGATCCTTCTGGGCTTAAGAGGACAGGGGAAGTTTCTGTGTGGATATGGAAATTGAGCTGAATCTTGAGAAACAGTTGAAATCAAGTGCATGGTTGGGGGTCGGTAAGAAAATCTCAAGTAAGGAAAATAGCTTATGGAAACACATGTACTTTGGAAAGTGCTAAGACCACATTCTGGACCAATAAATAGAAGTGCTTGATTGTGTTCATGTGACTTGAAAGGGCTTGAACATTAACTTAAATAGACTAAGACACGCCGTGAATAATAGCCTAAAAATATTCTGACACAAACTTGGTTCAAAGTCTCCAAAGAGGGTATTCTATTCTGTGTAATACCACAGCAATTAAGATTTGGGTTCTAGAATTAAATAGAACAGACTTTAATTCCACCTATATTATTTACCAGATATATAACCTCAGAGAGATTACACAATCTCCCTAATATATATATATATCTTAAATGTAAGATTTTTAATCTTTAAAAATAAAGAAAATAATAATGCTATTCCACAGAATTGTTTGGAAGATTAAATGAAATAATGCTTACTTAATATAGTATCTGGTATGTAGTCCATGCTCATAAATGTTAATTATTGCTATTGTTACTATGAGCACACTTACTGCTATTGCTTACCTTAAACCATTTACTTTGGGAGTTCATAAAAGGCAGGACTAATAGCTCATTAGTGTCATCAGACATGGCTTTTGCAGGAGGTAGAGTTTGAACTGAGCACAATGCAATGAGCTTGGTGGTTGCATTGCTACCCAGTAGGCATCAAATGTACTGCAGGCAGCAGCAGATGATCTGTCCTGTCTGACAGTACCCCAGTGCCGCCATATCTATGAGCCGTACTAAGACAACTTTGTTTCTTGGCATTTCCCTTCCCTCCCCCAGGTTTTCTCAGTGTACCATATGGACCTAGTAAGTCTTGTGATCATTAATTCAATTCCATAAATACTTATTAAATATCAGTGCCCCTGGCACCATGGGGAAATAAGAACTAAAGTCCTCATCCCTGTCTTCCAGGAACTATGATCACATTTATTCATGTTTAAAAAGAAACCACTAAAAAATAATAAAATATAGAAAAGTAGGGATAACATTCAGTGGAACACCAGGAAGGGAAATGCAGTGATGTGAAAATACCGGGTATGTCCAGTGAATGGCTAGCAGTTTTGTACCCCTGAATCATAAGATTCACATAGGAAAATAGAGGGAGGTTGGTTAAAAAGGGAAGGCAGTGGTCACAGAATATGGTTCTTCCTCTTAACAGGCCATTAGGACTCACTGCAGAAGCAAGTGAGATAAGACCAAAGCTGATTCACACTATTGCCTTCAGTGAACCTCAAACAACACATCACACCAAGAGCATGGACAAAGTTAACATAAAAGTCGAAAATAATTTCTTTCCCTGCTCAACTTACGATATGTTTGGGGAAATAAGTTTGCTGTTGCTGCCTTTGGCAGTCATCTTCCTTATGGAAGACAACTGAGATCCAAGAAAAGAGGCTGCAAATGACTTTCTAGCCCATAGCTTAACAATTTTAAAAAACTGATGTTTGTCAATATTCCAAAAAATATATGTATTAAAACAGTAAAAGTCTTTGGATGTTGTTAATTTTTTTTTCACTAATTTTTTCTTAGAGCTTTCTAAGCAGTGCAGCACAGACATGATCCCTTTTCCACAAAGATGGCTGCCTCAAGCACCTCACACAGAAAAATGCAATTAAATGAAAATCTAATTTTCAAGTACATCTCGCAGTTTATTCAAAGTAGAGAATAACTCACATTATGAGCTTTCAGACTCCAGGCAGAGCATGTTAATGCTGCTTTCCTTCAATAATCCATTTCTGAGACTTGATTCTTATTTTATTTTATTTTTTTAGAAAGGCTTGGGAACAGGAAGAAGCCTATAACTAATATGACCAAGTTTGGCTCCTCTTTAGAAAACGTGATGAGACCAGCAGATCCAAAACACAATCCTAGAGAGGGCTAATCTCCCCTCACTTTCCCTTTATAGCTTTCACCCTGATAGGATAGAATCTGACTTAAACTCTGCCACTTTAAATCAGCTTTAAATCTTGCATCTAACTCTTCTCCTGGGTTTTAGTGCCATATTGCAATGTTAAAGTGTAAAACTCTGCATCTGCCGAGGCATTTGGCTGGAAAAGCAAGTATGTCAATGGCCGTCCCTCGCTGCCATCACACATATGGAATTTCTGTGTTCAGCTCTGCCATCTGGTCGTTAGGTCTAGATTCACTCTTCATTGAATAAGGACCATCTACCATATCAGCACCTCCTACAATATGCTATCCTTTTCATGGTGTTATTTTGCAGTTCTTTTGATGATATTTTCTCTCCCCCACACCCTGGTTTTTTCCCCACAACCGTTCTACAAAGAGCAACCTTTAATGCCATTTGGGAAAAAAAAAAGCATGCACAATGCAATGGATGTAATTGGAACAAGAGCAATCAAAATTTCGAATAGCTGCAAACACAATGTTAGAAATTTCATAATTACATCTGTTGTAGATTGTACCTTCAAAGTGTGCAAGATAGTCTATGGACATAAAACAACCTTAACCAGGAAAAACCACTCAACATTAAGAAGAGAATGTGGGTTAATTGTCCCTGCCATTCTCTCTCCCTTATTCCTGACAGTAGTAATCATGAGACTGGATGGCATTTTCTTTTCTATCACAAGGACATGGTCCGAGGATGGTATACAACTCTTTCCACTATATATACTGTTACCACTGAACCATTCCCACTTTCTAGTTCA